CGTCGTTACAACGCGCGCCAAAAGTTCACGTTACGCCCCTAGCAACGGCGTGTTTCCAAGGAATGAACGCATACTTTTCAACGATGCAACAACGCGTTTAAAATGCAAGCTGCAAGCTCAACTGCAATTGGCTGTACAACATTTTTACAACCACATTTGGCCATTTTACTAATTTAAGGATGTTCTTTTAAGCTATAATGATACATTTTGTCCTTCTGGTCTGGATCAAAATATAGTCTACAGCTGAAATCATTCATTGATAAGTTAATTTTCTTCAAATCTTGTAGACAAAGTTTATTTATTGGTGGAACAAATCCACGTCAAGTTGTCCAGAAATTTAAGAAAGAAGGGTAAGAATATGCAATCCATATTATATTGCTAGCCCATGTCAATGTTTATAAAATATAACCTGGTGACTATATTTGACCGGCGGCTGGGCACGTTCTCAACCGGCAGTCATTTTCTCACTTCTTACCAGGTAACATAAAGCGTTTTTGTAAAGCTTTTCAGCGAGCTTTTTGGTATGACGTCAGGAGTTTGAGTTTGCTACGGTGTCACAGCGGATAGTGCCCCCCCCCCCCACCTCACTGCCGCCCCCCTCCCCCCACGAATTTTCATACGATTGATATTTTTAAGTTATGCGCTGACAGACGAACCAAGATAGACAGAAAAGTACATATAATAAAATCCATGTTTTCGATTCGAAAATATTGGCGAAGAATTTAAAATCATTGTACGTGTTATTTTAGTGGCAATATAATAATAGGGACTCCAGGAAGATTGGATGATATATTTTGTCACAAACCTGATGGCTTAGATCTTGCTGCTTGTGCTAAATCTTTGGTATGGAATTTATATATCAAAATATTATATAATTATTTGACCTAAGTCTCGTATAGGATCGTTTGAAACCCACCTAAAAAGCGAAAATGTTTTACTTTTGAAGGAGGTGTTGGTTTTTGATGAAGCAGATCGTCTCTTGGATATGGGTTTTGAGAAAAGGTAATGAAATGTTATCACTGAACTATCTTTATCTATACTCACTGGATAACTCAGTTCTGTCTAAACGTTGTCCGTATTTACTGTAGAGGTCCAAAAAGCCAGTATTAAAACAGCTTATAATCCTTTGCTCTCTTATTTTGAAGCATTAACAGTATTCTTGGTTTTCTGCCAAAGCAACGTCGTACTGTAAGTAATTTTGTAACCTTCCTTTTTTCAATCTACTGGAAATGCTGATAGGGCGGGTTGGGATTAGCTCCCTATCTGGAAGATAGAAGGGCTAAGTAGTAACTGCCCATTTCACCGTAGCTGTGCCACGTGGTCAGACCAGCTCGATCTCTTCCGAAAATCAAGGCTATGTCTT